AAGCTGAAGACCTTGTAAAACTACAATGATGTTGATTTCCTAGTGATATAATTTCAAGCTAGTTCAGCTTTTCTTAATTCCATGAAGAGAAAGGTAGCAGAGTGGTTATGAGAAATATTGTATAGTTTAACTGACCCTAAAAAACAAAAAACAAAACAAAAAAAAGCTGAATTTATGATTGAGCTAACTGAATTAATAAGCAAATTTCATAAGTAAGTGGTAGCGGAAGTAATCTGTAGAAACATAAACAAAGTGTTAGCTTTAATAGTGTTCATATTTTGAAAAGGAATGGGCAACCCAGCATATCTAACCAGTTGTTGGTGGCTCTCGTATCAGCGGGACAAGAAACCAATCCAAGCTTTAGTCCAAGTTGTGAAGCAGTGATCCAAGATGCTGAGCTTTCATTCCCAAAATAGATTCAGAACCTTAGATAGCTCCTGACAACAAATCATTGTGCAATCCAGTGTCCCATGAGAGCAGCCACCACTACTAGCTAATACAGCTAATGGTGGGACACATAGGAAGTTACAGTCCAATCTACAAATCCTTCTGACCAGTCATAACTACTGAAAGTGAATGAGAAGTGGAGTCCAAGGACATCTGGAAGGCCATGGGTTCATTCTGCATGTTCTTTAAACGGGTGGGCAGAGTTCAAGCAGAAGGAGTCTATTTGGAACCCTGTCAGTCAATAACCTGTGTTAGGTGCAAAATAGATGGTTCAAACTGATAGGAAGATACTTAGTTTTTTTTTAAAAAAAACTATGAAGAAGAGTGTCTCTTGTCACATGTTCATTCAAGCTATGAAGTGATGATTGACACCAGAATGAAGCTCATAATTTCACACACAAAAGTACTCTTGATTTCACCCTCCCCATTCCTTCTAACCGCATAATTTAAGGAAAAAGAACTTTGTATCTCTTGCTGACATTATATAGCTAGGAATTCAAAAGTCTTGTCAGTTTCTTCCAAATTATAAACCCCCTGGGATTGAATCTATCAACAGATCTCTATCTACAATAATCAACCAATTCCTTCAGTAATAGTGCGTCTATACCATAAAATTAATGCAGTTTGGCACCACTTTAACTGCCATTGTTCAATCCTGAGACTGGCCGTTTTGTGAGGCACCAGTTCTTTTTGGCAGAGAAGACTAAATTGCATCTCTTATGCTTCCAAAGCACCAAGCCATGGCAGTCAAAGAGGTGTCAAACTACATTCATTCTACACCCTAAGAAACCCTGAACAAGAGCTTGCTGTACATATTTTAAGGAATAATCACCACTTCACACATTCCAATATCATCATGAATTGACTGGCATAAAAATGTAGATGTTCCTGACTGTCTGAATAAAAATGCCTTTGATTGCTTCTATAGCAACATTGGGTTAAATAACTTCCAATGTTTGGTTGATACATGGGGAGCAAATTGACTGCTGGTGAATTCCAGCTGAAATCCTGCAAGTCTGTGGAGCCTTGTTAACTTCTCTTTAGCTGAGATTTGAAAACAGTGTTTTCCTCTGTATCAGAAACTATTGCTAAAGCTATCATTTTGTGGAAAAGGATAATGGTCATTTTGAAGTCTAGCTAGTGAGCAAAGAGACTAATCCAACCCACATTTGGATTATGATATAGCCCTGCAATAACCAATTATTAAGGAAATTCCTTTGCTTCTCCTTCTCTGAGCTATGCGGGACTCACTGAGAAGGAAACTAATAACAAAAAGCAAGGCAAAATGATGATTCCAGTGAATATGCAGACACAGGGAATATAAATGTGCATCAGATACACTATAAAAACACAATGGTTAAAATGCATTATCCTTTCCCTCTCCAAAAGAAAAAAAAGAATCTAGTCTTGAGTTTAGATGGTGTTAATAAACCTCTAATTTTGAGAAATTACAAAAAGGAAAAAGTTCTTGCCTTATCTGCTTATACATTCATTATTCCTTTGTGAATTTATTCTATGAGAGATTTATTCTTAAGACCCCCTGAATGAAAGACCCCAAAGCCACCATATTGTCAGCAGCCCTTCTTAGTTCTTGCAGACTTAGGTTCATGGCGGACTAGATTGGGTCAATCCATCTGGAGTGTGACCTTCCTTTTTTCCTACTGGCTTTTACCTTTCCAAACATTACTGTCTTTGAGTCACCTTGTCTTACTCAACTCCTGAGTGTGCCTGCCCTGTTTGGCATAAGTCTGATCATGCAAAGCAGGTGAACACAGCATTGAACAAAACATGCAGGATGTCTCAAACTACACTTGTTGATAGACTTTACAAGCTAGTTGGCACCCCCCGATGTGTGATGGGAAGTTGCTGCTAACTATAAAAGAAATAAGGTTGAACACTGGAAGCAGAGGCGGCCCTAGGTAATTTTAAACGGTAAGCAAACAGTATTTTGGTTCCCCCCCCCCCCAACCAATCACTGATATATATTTTCTGTTAGTCATGGGAGTTCTGTGTGCCATATTTGGTTCAATTCCATCATTGGTGGAGTTCAGAATGCTCTTTGATTTTAGGTGAACTATACATCCCAGTAACTACAACTAGCATATGTCAAGGTCTATTTTCCCCCAAGAGTGCCTCAAGAGCGCCCCTGGGTAAAATCAACTATACTGCGAATGCTTACTTTGCGTAATGGGTTGAGCCGCCCCTGACTGGAAGCCACTTACTGCATGGCTATCAGCCTCCTCCCAGTAGACTCAAATCAAGGAAAAGCTTCTTGAGAACCACATCTCTTCTTAAGGTTTCCCCAGCAACAGCAACAGCATCCCTCTGGGCAGCTGAACCAGGAAATCCCAATGGGATGCCCCCCTCCATGGGGGTCTTCCTCCAAGGGCAAACCAAGAATGGGCAACTTGGAAGTACCTGAACAGACTCAGAAGTGGAATGAGCAGATAACCTGGCAAAATGGAATTGCCTAAAAGAATCCCACCTTGTGTGACTGCGGACCCCTACCTCATGTACAGAGGAAAAATTGGTTAAAGCTGCAGACAATGTGGTCACTGTTACCCAGTTTTGATCAAAAATTATTTAGCTACTTATGCTATTTTTATCAGTTTTATACCTACGTATGCAATGCTTTTGACAGAAATTTTAAAAAAACCTTGTTTCATTATATGACCAGAATACAACAGTCTCATTTTATTCATATTCGCTTCTAGGCTTGATTTGCCCTAGGAACCATATATAGAAAAGGGAAGTATGATGGTATCTTTGGTGTTCTGTGATATATCACTGAACTTCCAAGATTTTATTAGTTCCTTCATAGCTACCCTTCCATGTTGAAGTCTTCTTCTGATTTCTTGACTTCAGTCTCCATTCTGATTAATGACTAAGCCAAGTGATGGAAAATCTTGAACTATTTTAATGTCTTCATTGTCTACTGTAAAGTTATGTAGATCATCTGTGGTCGTCATTTTATTTTCTTAACATTCCACAGTGAGATACAGCTTAATGGTGTAGCATTAGAAAATGTTGACCATTTCCGCTACCTTGGCAGCCACCTCTCCACCATAGTCAACATCGACGCCGAAATACAACACCGCCTGAGCTCTGCAAGTGCAGCATTTTCCCGAATGAAGCAGAGAGTGTTTGAGGACCGGGACATCCGTAGGGATACCAAGGTGCCTGTCTATAAAGCTATTGTCCTCCCAACCCTGCTATATGCCTGTGAGACGTGGACTGTCTACAGACGTCACATGCAACTCCTGGAATGATTCCATCAGCGCTGCCTCCGGAAAATCCTGCAAATCTCCTGGGAAGACAAACGGACAAACGTCAGTGTTGCTGGAAGAAGCAAAGACCACCAGCATTGAAACAATGGTCCTCCAACATCAACTCCGCTGGGCCAGCCAGTTCAAAGCAGATATTGTGGGTTATTCCACCTGGATATTGTGGCTTATGTGGCTGTGTAAAAGGGTGCTGGGTTATCTGAGGAACCTTCCACACAGCTGAATAAAAATCCCACATCATCTCCTTTGAACTGGAATATTTGGCAGTGTAGACTCAGGTATTCCAATTCAAAGCAGATATTGTAGGTTATGTGACTGTGTGGAAGGGCCCTGGGTTATCTGAGGCCCTTTCCACACAGCTGAATAAAATCCCACATCATCTGCTTTGAACTGGGATATTTGGCAGTGTGGACTCAGGTATTCCAGTTCAAAGCAGATATTGTGGGTCATTCTGCCTTGATATTGTGGCTTATGTGACTGTGTAGAAGGGTGTTGGGTTATCTGAGACTCCTTCGACACAGCTGAATAAAGCCCCCCATCATCTGCTTTGAGCTGGGATATTTGGCAGTGTGGTCTCAGATATTCCAATTCAAAGCAGATATTGTGGCTTATGTGGCTGTGTGGAAGGTCGCTGGGTTATCTGAGGCCCCTTCCACACAATAAAATCCCACATCATTTGCTTTGAACTGGGATATTTGGCAGTGTGGACTCGGGTATTCCAGTTCAAAGCAGATACTGTGGGTTAGGTGGCTGTGTGGAAGGTCGCGGGGTTATCTGAGGCCCCTTCCACCCAGTTGAATAAACTCCCACGCCATCTGCTTTGGGCTGTGTGGAAGGGCCCCCAGAGAAGTGATCTAGTCCCCAGAGAAGCGTCCCGATTGGACCTTTGGTAGGCTTTTGAAAAATGCATGGGTTGCAGACATCGGAGCGTGGAGACTTGAGGGAAAGGGGAGGGTGTGGAGGAATGCCTGGATGTCACGGAGGGGGGTCTGTGCAGGGTGGGAGAGAGGTAGCGAGATCAGCGGTGGCGTGGACTGGGGGGAAGCTGGACCCGGGAAGCCTTTTGAAAAATGCACCCGGGAGCAGCCCGAGGGACTTGGCAGGAGGGAGGGAGGCGGGGGCCCAATCTGCTCGGGCGCAGTGGCTCCACCTCCCGGCCTGCGTCGCGGTTGGCTGCTGCTGGGCTCGGGCGGCGAAGGAGTTAAGCGCCGGCTGCCTTTCCTCCTGGTTCTGCCTCCCCCTCCTCTGCTTCTCCTGCTTCTCCTCCTCCTCCTCCTCCTTTGCTCTGCTGGGCTGGGCGCCGCTTCCCTCCCGCTCGGAGTCGGGGGCTCGGTCTGCCAAGGCGAAGATGGCGACGGAGGGGACCGGCGGAGAGCCCGGCTCCAGCGGGCGAGGAGAGCCGGCGGCCGCGGTAGGCAATGGCCAAGGAGGACTCTTGCGTTTGGGCAAAGGGAGGTCTTCCCCCTCCCTTTGGAGACCCCTTCCCTTCCCTTCTTTTGGGTTGAAGGGACGCACAGTCCCCGCGGGGTCGAGCAGAGCCTTCCTAGACCGAGATCTAGGAAGGACCGAGATCTAGAAGGGCTTTGGAGGGCCTGGGAGGGGATCCACTGGGACGCAAGGACCCCGAGTCCATCGCCGCTGCTGCTTGGCACTGGCAGGGCTTCGGCATCCCCTCTTTTGTCCCTCTTCTCCATCTGGAAAAGAGGGCAAATCCCTCGCCTATCCCCCCCCCCCACTCCCCTCCTTCCAGGAGGCGGCTCCCTATTGTTTCCTTGCTCTGAAGGGTGGATTTCGCGGGAAGGAGCTGACCACGCGAGTCCCTATTTCCCCCCCTAATGAGATGTCACGAGTGGATCGCCTCTGTCCTTAGAGATCGCCTTTCCTCTTGAATATTCCCCTTCAATATGTGTGCTTTTCCTTCTCCTACCGAGCTGTGCGGGGGGGAAAAACACGCGTGGGATATTGTGATCAGAGCAGAAAAAGGGATTGTGTTTGAATGCCTCACCTTTTGTGTCAGGGAAAAAACCACAGAACTATTGGGTTGTTGTAGGTCTTTTCGGGCTGTATGGCCATGTTCCAGAAGCATTCTCTCCTGACGTTTCGCCTGCAGAGGTTGTGAGGTCTGTTGGAAACTAGGAAAATTAGGTTTTATATTGTTTTGAAGATACAAAGCGAAGATCAGGTGTTTGTTTTTCTCCCCCTGTTAATTATGCAGATAATAATTCCTCTTTTCATTCCCTGGTGAAGGAGGTGGGGAAGGAAAGGTCTGTTGTGTGTCTTTCCCTTCATGCTAAATATAAGTGCTGGCAGCCCCTTCCCCTCCAGTCCTGGTCTCCTTCTGGTTTGGCCCCCTCTCTTTCCATCCTCTGTGTGACACACAGCCTCCCTTTCCAATCCTCATTGTTGTGACTGGCATCTGCCCTTCCTTCCTTTCCCTAATTCCCAGGTCAGTTTCCACTCAGTCCCTTTGCCGCTTGGCTGGCTCTGTGGCGGGAGCTCCTCCTGCTGTCAGTGGAAACGCATGGAAAAATCCATGCTTGGGGTCCCTCCCCTTGAAAGCTGGAAATCAAAAGGCTCTGGTCACTTGCACCACCAACCTACCAACCAACTGGTGTCCTTGGTCCCTAAAATAATCTCTCTTGGCTTTTGCCTCCAAAGCACTTTGAGAAAGGACTGGCTCACAGTGTAGTGCTTCTTCTTATTATTTCCCTAAGGTACCAAATGCATTGGAACTTTTGTTTGTGTGTCTCAGGAGCAACTTGCGAAACTGCAAGTTGCTTCTGGTGTGAGAGAATTGGCTGTCTGCAAGGACGTTGCCCAGGGGACATCCAGATGTTCTAATTGTAAAGGAATGCTAAGGATATGCATTGGAGCCCCTGGTGGTGCACTTGATTAAAGCGCTGAGCTTGCTGACCGAAAGGTTGCAGGTTCGAGTCCGGGGAGTGGCATGAGCTCTTGCTGTTAGCCACAGCTTCTGCCAACGTAGCCATTCAAAAACATGCAAATGTGAGTAGATCAATGGGTACAGCTCTGGTGAGAAGGTAACGACATTCCATGCAGTCATGACCTTGGAGGTGTCTACGGACAACGCCAGCTCTTCAACTTCAGCATTTTTCTCATATCCTGATGTATTTGTTCTCAGTTTTTATTTAACCCACTGGTGGTACAATGGGTTAAATCGCTGAGCTGCTGAACTTGCCAACCAAAAGGTTGGTAGTTTGAATCCGGGGAGTGGGGTGAGCTCCCACTGTTAGGCCCAGCTTCTACCAACCTAGCAATTCAAAAACATGCAAATGTGAGTAGATCAATAGGTACAATTTCTTCAGGAAGGTAATGGTGCTTCATGCAGTCATACTGACCGCATGACCTTGGAGGTGTCTATGAACAACGCCGGCTCTTTGGCTTAGAAATGGAGATGAGCACCAACCCCCAGAGTCGGACACGACTGGACTTAATGTCAGGGGAAAATCTTGACCTTATGCATTCTTTTGCTATGAAACACAATTTTCCGAGTCCTGTACCAAAGTGATTTGATACATTGCGATAGTTTGGATCTATCCAAAATATTCTTCTCTTATCCAGTAATGTGCTGCCCACCTATAATTCATTTTTCTATTATTATTATTATTATTATTATTATTATTATTATTACTACTACTACTACTGGAGCCTCCAGTGGCACAGCAGGTTAAACCGCTGAGCTGCTGAACTTGCTGATTGGAAGGTCAGCGGTTCAAATCCAGAGAGCAGGGTGATCTCCCGCTGTTAGCCCCAACGTGCAAAGGTGAGTAGATCAATAGGTACTGCTCCAGCGGGAAGGTAACAGTGCTCTATGCAGTCATGCCAGCCACATGACCTTGGAGGCGTCTACGGACAACACCAGCTCCTCAGATTAGAAATGGAGATGAGCACCACCCCCAAGAGTCAGACACGACTAGACTTAAATGTCAAGGAGAAACCTTTACCTTTACTTATCCAACAATGTGCTACCCACCTATAACTGATTTTTCTATTATTATAATTATTATTAATTTGGTATCTTTCAGATACATTTTGTAATCACTTTTCTGTGGAATGATTGTGCTGTTGGTTCCATACATTCCTTTTCTTTTTGACCGATTCTATTTTTCTGTGTCTTCCACCAACGTTTTCATTCACAACCTTATAAAAAAAATCAATGTTGTATACAGTTGTCTCTCCATGTTTATGGATCTGACTTTTGTGAATTTGATTCTAAATATCTGACTTTTGTTAATTTGATTCTAAATATATTTCTCTAGGAATCTTGATATCCCCTACTTTGATTCTATGTTCAACTTCCTCAAGTCATGTTGGAGGACCTCGAGATGTCTGGAGAGAAAACCTGTTTAGGGATCTCTAGGGCCCCTTCCACACAGCTGAATAAAATACCACATTATCTGCTTAGAACTGGATTTATGGCAGTGTGGACTGACATAACCTGGTTTAAAGCAGATATTGTGGGATTTTCTGCCTTGATCTTCTGGGTTATATGACTGTGTGGAACAACCCTAGGTCTTCCTATGCAGATTCTATTTTTAGCATCCGGCAGATGTTGACCAAAGAGTCATGCTGGAAGATCTAGAAATGCAGAGAGGTTGATTTTTTAAAATGAATTTCTTTCTCCGCAGGTTTTACTTCCATAAGGTTCCTGTATCCCTAACCCCAATAAATGTGTATTATCTGCCTTGATATATTGGATTGTATGGCAGTGTAGAAAGGTCCTTAGACCAGTGGTTCTCAACCCAGGTGTTTTGGCCTACAACTCCCAGAAATCTCAGCCAGTTTACCAGCTGTTGGGAGTTCTGGGAGTTGAAGGCCAAAACATCTGAGGACCCACAGCTTGAGAACCACTGCCTTAGACAATGGAACAAGAGATCCAAGGCAGCCAAACACTGTTACCATGTTCTAGAAGAGCCATGGTGGCGCAATGGTTAAATCCATGTGCTGACTAGACTGCTGACCTGAAGGTTGGGCTGCTGACCTGAAGGTTGCGAGTTCAAATCTGCGCAACAAAGTGAACTCCCGTCTTTCAGCTCTGGCATGCGGGGACATGAGAGAAGCCTCCCAACAGGATGGTAACACATCTATAGACCGCCAATTCTCTCACACCAGGAGCGACTTGCAGTATGTTCTCAAGTCGCTTCTGACACAATTAAAAAAACATGTTCCAGATGTGTTGGACCACAGGTCCCACCATTTTGGTGAAGTGATGGAAGTTGCAATTGTAGACCTCTGAAGGTTCGCTGTTTAATGATGTCTAGAGCTGCTCTAAAGATAGTCCTGAATTTTTAAGTTACTCACTGAATTTTTCACCTTTCTCCTGGTAAAAACCTTTTCATTAAGCTCCTGTTAAAAGCATTTGAAGTCATAGCCCCTTCTCTGCTAAGTGGATTCTCAGAAAGCAGCTGACAGGTAACCCAGTGGAATCAATAGGTTTTTATTGCTTGAGGATTTGAAAGGTTCAGAAAGTAAACAGAAGAGTAATTGAAGGAGGCATTAAAATTTGATGACCATATAGCCATTGGTAATACAGGTACACCTCAGTTAACAGAGGCTCCTTCTACACTGCCCTATATCTGAAGATCTGATCCCAGATTATCTGCTTCGAACTGGATTATATCAGTCAACACTTCCGGATAATCTGGAATAAGGAGATAATCTGGGATCTGATCCTGATATATAGGGTAGTGTAAATCCAATGCAAATCCAGATTATCTGAACTGAATTGTAAGTCAGTGTAAACTCATATAATCTAGTTGAAAGTAGATAATCTGGATTATCTGATGTGATAATCTGGATTATATGGCAGTGTAGAAAGGGCCAAAGCCTCTGACAAAGAAGTTGTTTTTTTTAACAAAGGCTGCATCTACACTGCTGAATTGATGTCATGAGTCCCTTCAAGGAGAGAGGATGGTCTATAATAAAGTATTGTTATTTGAAACATAACAAGATTAGTACACATTAAAGAAGATCACTATGCTAGCTTTTGTATTTGATCACACGTCAGACACTTCCCAAGGGTCTAGGACTGTGTGGTGTTTCAGCGAAAAACGTGTGCAGTTCCAAGTAAGGTGGCCTTTTGCAGCTGAGAGATGGTGATTTTGTCAACACCGATTTTTTTTAGTGAAGGTCAAGATCTTTAGGCACTGCACCCAGTGTGCCGATCACCACTGGGACCACCTTTACTATTATTATTATTATTATTATTATTATTATTATTATTATTTGCTATGAGACCCTGGGATTTATACTTTGGTGGGGTAGCATCACTCTTTGGAAGAGAAGGCTCAAGACCTTGTAAAAATGAGGGAAAGAGGATAGCAACTCCCCCAGCATGTTTTTGTAATACTTGAAATACTTTATAAGTATTGCCACTAAAATGGAAACTGT